CTCCAACCTCTCAGCCGTTAGTTGAGTGCCCTGCCCACACACTCCTTCCTCTCTATAGCTCTCTTTTTCTTTTGTCTTCCTTTGCCTTCTTTTCTGTAATACACCGGGAAGTGAAAATGAGAAGCTAACGCAATGTTTGTTCCAAATACTTCACCAGTTGCCGCTGCACCAGCTTGTGACTCAGACATCCACCGCTCTATTCTCTGGCCTTGTCTGGGTTCCCAAGTCAACCTCCAGAAGAAAAACGTTCCCCTGGATGCCAGCATTCACACAAAAGTCCTGGAAAACAAGGCAAGATTTCTGATATTGTGGAATAGGTGAGGGGTTTACCTTGGAGACTGCAACACAAACACCTTAAAAATTCCCTGTGGGTATTTCAGTCTCCCCAAGTGCCACCTGCCCCCGCCCGTCCCAGGGCTGCCTGACCTTGCCTGCTCCTCCACAACCAGACCTTGCAGCTCTCCCCCAATGCCTGCATTCTGAAGAATGTGGGACCCTCACCCTTTCCCACAGAATAGGGCTCTAACACCCCATCAAAACCCTAAGTCCTACCTATTCCAGCCCCTCAACTCAGAGCACCCACTCCACTGTGTCAGCAGGGTAGCAACAGCTTTTTGTCATTTAAGAATGCCCTTGGGGTCCTGGCCCCCACCCCTGGGGCTTATTAACCTATTTCTTCCAAACAAATCCAGCGAGCACCGACCAAGCAGGATTCCCAGACCACCTGCTAATGGAGACCCGGTTTCTCTACCTCCTTAGCGTTTCTGAAACATTCAGGAATTGGGAGTTCTACAGAACAGGGAGTGCCCTAGAAGTAGGAACTGGGGCTATGGGCTGGGTGTAGGGGTGTGGAGTCTGCTATCTGAGTCAGCAGAGTTCTGGAAAACTCCAAGCCTACACACTCAGGAGCAGCCATGGGAGTCTAGAAAGAGGCAGAGCCCAGTGGTCAACCTGAGGTGGCAGCAGCTAAGCAGTAACCACAGTGAGTAGTGCTCCTCACAGCATGGAGGCAAAAAGGGGACTTGGTAAGGTCCAAGTGTGACTGCCCCCAGCTCAGAGGAGGCCCCTGGGAGGGGTGGCTGGGCTCCATGCACAGTGACCTGAGTCAGTTCAAGTGTAATTGCAGGAAAGGGGGCCCTGAGGACTCAATTTTCAGGGAGATGGGCTGAGGCATTTGGATGAACAGTTGATGGCAGGAACTGACCAATCTAGGCCCTGAGTCTCTCTTGCTCACCATACCCAAAGGGTGCATCTTGAAGAAACCTTTCTGGAAGCCCACTAATACTTTCTGCTTACCTCTCATTGGCCAAACATGGTCACATGCTCTTACTTAGCTGCAAGGGAGGCTGGGAAAGTATGCTTTTAACTGAGCAGGTTATTGTTTTCATTACATGCCATCGAATCAGTTCTAACTGATTGCAGCCCTGTATAGGACTTCCTAGGAGCCGATGGTGAGTTTGAACCGCCAACCTTGTGGTTAGCAGTCCAGTGCTTATCCTATAGCACCACATCAGAACTCCAAGAGCAGGTAGCTACCCTGAATGAAATCGGGCTTCTATCACCGAGGAATAAAGAGACAACAAGTGTTCTCCCTCCTCCAAGTAGGGGTTGTACCCATTGGTCCCATTCACCTCAAGGAACTTAGGTTTGCTCTGTGACCTCTGATGTGGCAACAGGGCATTCCTGGGAAGAATAAACATTTAGCAAATGTTGGGCTTGGGACTCAGAAGTGGCAGAAAATGAACATGGGTAGGCAACTGCAGCAGGCGAACACTGAGAGTCGTTGAGGGTGTGTGTGAAGGGAATGAAGAGAAATGTGGAGGGCCTAATCCGGAGGGGCTGGGATGGAGACTATGGAGGTGCAGAAGAGAAAGCATCGAGAGAGTTCAGGAAGGAGAGTTGTCTATATCCTGTGACCATATTGAAGATGGAATAAACCAGGGCTGACAGCCAGCTGCTTCCAACTGGTGTGGCTGGACCAGTTATCGCTGTGGATCTCCACCTGCATTCCTCACGGTCCTCACCCTTCCAGTCACTGCATATTTAAAATGTCACTCTGAGGTCTGAGAGTGCTGAAAGGCTTGCATTCTAAAGTCAGACAAGGGTCGATCCTACATTCAGTGCTTATGAGTAGTATGACTTTGCATACAGGAATCCGTCTGAAGCTCAGCTTCTACGTGTGTAAAATGAATATAATAGATTCATTTCTACCTAGAAGAATACTGACTGTATCCTGGACTGCCAGAAGAATGAACAAATCTATCTTGGAAGGAATACACTCAGAAGACTCCTTAGAAGTAAGGATTTCAGATAAGTTATCAGAGGGAGCAGTCCCTGGAGAAGGACATCATGCTTGGTAAGGCAGAGGGTCCGTGAAAGAGACACAGACCCTCAATGAGATGGATTGGCTTAGTGGTTGCCACAATCAGTTCAAGCATAGCAGTGATTGTGGGGGCAGTGCAGAACAAGGCACTGTTTCCTTCTGTCATACAGGGGTCACTCTGAGTAGAAGCTGACGTGATGGCACCTCTCATAGTTAAATTGTGTCCCCCCGAACATATGGGTCAACTTGACTGGACCAGGATTCTCCGTGGTTTGGCAGTTATGTAATGATGCGATCAGTCAGTCAGTTGTAAGGGGATTAGGGTAGGATGTAACACCCTTCCTCAGCTTACAGTCCTGATCTGATGGAAGGGGAACCCAACTACCACCAAGAAAGAAGAGCCAGGAATGGAGTGATCGGTCTTCCTGTGAAGAGAACCTCCTAGACCCAGGGAAAGATTAAATCCAAGACATATGGGGATATCCAAGGACTGGAGGGCCCATAGATGCTGAATGGAGACAAGGACTTTAGCCGACGCTCTGAATCCCAACTTCAAGTCTCCTAAACTGTGAGGAAATATATTTCTGTTTATTGAACCCACCCACTACGATATTTCTGTTAGAACAGCATTAGAGAACTATTGTTGTTGTTGTTGTTGTTAAGTGCTGTCGAGTCGGTTCCGACCCATAGCGACCTTATACAGGGTTTCCGAGGGTGTAAATCTTTACGGGAGTAGAAAGCCTCATCTTTCTCCCACGGAGCGGCTGGCAGTTTCAAACCACTGACCTTAAGGTTCGCAGCCTGATTCGTAACCACTACACTACCAGAGCTCCTTAGCACCAAATAACATCAACCTAGAAATGTCAGGGTCATTGGGAGGATCCAAATCTTAGCTCCTTCTCTTGCCGGTGATAAGCAGTCACTAAAGTTAGCTGATAACCCCAGGGGAAGCACAGGTAGAACCTTCCACTCAAAGCCTTTTCTTAATGACAAGTATAATCACAGTAGGCTAATCTGGATCTACAGTTTTCCAAGGAGCCCGTCAGCATTTTGCAGCTCTCTTGTTATCCTCTGTCCTTCCAGCCCAGTTGACTAGAGAGAAGTAGACATGTTTGTTCTGTGCCAAAAGCGCTGAAGCCACAGCAGAGGCCTAGCTACAGAAATAGCACCTAAGGCAAGCACTGTCCAGATGTGACACCCATCTTAAACATTTAGCATCATCGTGCACCTCAGACCATTAAGCCTACAACAAAAACTCTGCCTCGGGGGTCCAATTAGTCATTTTCATGGAAGGGAAACCATTTGTTTAAAAAACCAGCCCTAACCCATTCCTTCCCAGCGCCCCACCACTGCCTTGACTCTTCTTGGTCACTGGTGCCTTTTCACTCTAGTTAGATGGAACATTACACTGTCGTTATATGCCACCCGAGTCCATTCTGACTCAGCTATATACAAGTGGCTGTGGAGTGGCTGGTAAGTTTGAAACGCCGATCTTGGGTTTCAAACCAACGTTGAGGTCGAGTGCTTATCCTACAGTGCCACGTCAGGCCATTACATGAAGTGAAAATATTTCAGGGATCAAGAGGTTGTCTGATGTGTGGGTGGATGGATGGATGGGAGGCTTGCATTGGGTGCGCATGTCTCGAATGCCCAAAGCAGGTGTTGGGTTGAGATGCGGAGAATGAAGGGAGAATCAGAGGGGAAAGGAGAGTAGGTAGGAGAGGAGGCCGCGAGAGAAGATAACCCTGAAGTCAGTATAATCCTCCCCCAACCCCATGGAGTTCTGGTGTGGCGCGGTGGGCTAATGCGTCAGACTGAAAAGTTGTTTGAACTGCAAGGTCGATGGTTTAAGCTCACCAGCTGCTCCTTGGAAACCCTATACAGGGTCGCTATGGGTTGGAATCGACTCAACGGCACTTAACAACAACAACAACCACCCCAGGGAAAAAAACAAACCTACTGCCATCAAGTTGATTCGAACTCATAGCTACCCTATAAGACCAAGCAGAACAGCTCTGTAGGGCTTCCGAGACTAAATCTTTGCAGGAGCAGCCTGCCTGTTTCTCTCAGGGAGAGTGAACTGCCGACCTTGCGGTCAGCAGGTCAGCACATAGGAATCCTTAAAGTCAGGCAAAACCTCTCAAATATGAAAGTATTCATTTTAACTTGCTGGATGATCTCTCAACAATGGAAACTGCCATGGTTCATAGAACCGGCCCTTCCAGTGGCTCCCAGGGTCTGTGCCAATACCTACCGTAACTTAGACACGCCCCACCGCCAACGACAGCCAGAGTCAGGGGCTGTTTGTTCCTACTCTTTGTTGCTAGAAAAGGGGTCCTCTGCAGAAGGACAGGCCAAGTCTGGTCTTGAGTCACCAGTATGGACGGTGAAGACTTGGGAGGTGTCCATAAATAAATCAACATCTGCATCCCAATCCAGCTGTTAGTCACCAACCAACCTGACTCCTGGACTCTGCACACACACCTCCACCTTTGCCAAGATATTGGCTTTCTTTCCCTGCATGCCCTTGGCCAGCCCCTCAAGAGACTCAGGACCCTTTGGTATACAGGTTCCTGTGACATCGCCTGCCAGCTACCCACAGCCCCTGTGACCTCACCCACTGGTCAGCACAGCCTGGCAGGGGGTAGCCACTCCCTCGAACCACCACCGGGCATAGATGACCACCGAGCCCTTGGGAGAGGCCAAAGGTGCCAGCAACAGCCCATATGGCACTCCAGAGGCCTCCTTGGGCAGTGTGGCAGATAAGCCGTCTCTGGAGAACGTGGCAGGAGAGTCACAAAGCCAGGCAAGTGGCACCTTGACAGAGGATGGGAGTCAGGCCTTGGTCCAGCTAGTCACCCCGGAGCCTATGTCGGCATCGAAGCATGTCCCAGTGGACAGCACGGAATCTAAGGAGATTACATCTATGGTCCTCCACCAAGCCCCGGGTGCTCTGCAAACGTCCACAAGCTTCCAGAACCCACCGTTACTAAAGCTGGTTAACGATGCCAAGAAGCATTACAGTCAGCTGAGTTTGCAACAATATTCTCTGGTGAAGGAAGAGAGATCCCTGAGCCAAAGGCCACTGGAGTTAGCACCCCCTTCCCCAAATGTGGGCTCACAACCTGAGGAGAACACTGCTGGTCAACCCGCTCTAGACGCCACTGCCTTGAATCCTACTGCCCAGCACATTGTAGATGCCCACGGTCAGCCTGCCACAGAGCAACCTGGGGGCCTAGAGACCTTGAGCCTTGAGGACAGTTTTGAGGACAGCCCTGAGGAGCCACAGGTTTGGTCCTTCTCATCAGCCTCAGGCAGTAGTGCACCCCCATCACCTGCCCCACGCCCGGTGGCCCTGGGGAGGAGGCTCCTGGACCCCAACCTATACATGGCCGACGAGGAGAACAACTACATGCGGTCCATGACCAGCTTGCTGGGCGGGGGCGAGGGCTCCATCAGCTCCCTGGCAGACATTCTGGTGTGGTCTGAAACCACCATAGAGATGGCCACGGGCTTCCTGGGCACCGGCCACAGCTCCGTGACGGACCTGCTGCAGGGCACGGGGCCCAGCCTTCGCTCAGCTTCCAGCATCCTGGGCAGTGCCAGCTCAGCCTTCTCCTCTGGGCTGACAGCAGGCACGGGCTCCGCCCTACGCTCTCTCACCCACATGCTGGAGACTTTTGAACGGCGGACCATCGAGGGCATCCGCTCAGCCGTGCGCTTCCTGACCAGCCACCTCACCCCACACCGGGACTCGGATGGCCCCAACTGTGACTAGAGCCCCCAGAAGGACTGCCGAGGGGGGCCCTTGAAGCCCAGCTGCCCTGCCTACCCAGACCCTGGATGGCGCTCTCCAGAACAGGCAATAAACGACCAGCGAGTGTTTATTTTCTAAGTGCCAGCCTCTCCCCTTCTCCAAGCCGAGAGGGCAGCAGGGCGAAGGGACCACAGCAGGCTGAGGGCCTCTGGAATCAGAAAGGTGGTTCCTTTCTATTTGGGCTTTGGGGCAGGTGTGCAGAAAGAGAAGAGCAAGGGCAGGACCGGGGGACAGAGGGGAGTGTCGGGGGGGGGGGGGGGGGGGGGGGCGGGGGGGGGGGGGGGGGGGGGGGGGGGTAAGGCGAGAAGGAGGAGTCTCAAGCCCGTACAAAGGATCCTGACAGGACATTCAGCCAGGGAAGTGCCTTCCTGCAGAACGAAGGCCTGACCCTCCCCCGATGGACACTGGCCTGGAAGACTCAGGCTGCTCTGCTGGGTGGGGGCTCTCTGAGAGACAGACAGTGGGGGTAGACAGCTCTGAGACAAATGTGGGTTCAAACCCACCACTTTGCCCTTGGGACCTCTGACCCCGCCTCCCTGAAACGGAGATATACAAAATTCCCACCCTAGAGATGGTGTGAGCATGTGGAACAATGCTGGCCAGAGCCCACAGAGCTGACACTTAATTAAAAACAAAACAAAAAACAATTGTTGGGGAGTCAACTCAGACTCACGGCGAGCCCATGGCCCCACACGTATCAGAACTGGGTTCCAAATGATTTTCAGTGGCTGAGCTTTGGGAAATAAATTACCAGGTCTTTCTTCCTGACATGGGCTTTTGGTTAGCAGCTGAGGGCATTGACCATTTGACCACCCAAGGACTCATTTAATGAAGGTACACATTTCAACCATCGTTATCATCCTTAATTCAGGCTGGCCAAGAGCTAAGGACCTGATGGAGTGACCAGCTGGCCCTGTCCACCTGGGACCAAGGAGCCTCTGGGAGGTGGGACTTTTCACATTGAAAAGCAGGAAACCTCTGGGGAACCAGGGTGGTTGGTCATCCTAGACCCAAGTGTCTTGATGCAGTTTCTGCTGTTGCCTGTCCACACTGAAATGTGTTTTCTGGGGCAGTTCTGAACACAGGGACTCAGGAGCTATCGTGGCTGGACACAGTGCCTCAGCTGGTGGAGAGCCTATGAGAGAAGCCCCCACTGGACACCAGCCCCAAGTCCTTCCCTCATGAGCTAGGCACCTCATGCAAGTGGCACCCACATACCTATGCACCATAGCCTTGACCATGGGGGTCATACATTGGCTCCTGACCTGTCCTAACATAACAAACAAACAAAAAACCCCACAAATGGGTGTCTTTTAAAGAACAGAAATGTATTGTCTCATAGTTCAGGACCTAATGAAGTTCACATTCAGATCGTAACTCTCAGGGGAGGCCTTTGTCTTATTCAGCTTCTAGTAGCTACTGGCAACCATCCGGGCTTCTTGTAGATGCAACAGCTGTTTCTGTCTCCCCCTGTCAGTGTCTCCATGTCTGTAATTTTCTTTTTATAGCTCAGAAGGGATTAGGTTTAGGACCTACCCTATCCTGGCATGACCTCATTAACACAACAATAGAAAACTATTTCCAAACAGGATTCAGTGGTGGATTTGTTTTCCTACATTTTGTTGTTAGATGCCACTGAGTTGGTTCTGACGCATACAACCCCACGCACAAAACCCTGCCCGTTCCTCACAATTCACAATTGTTATGTTTCGGTCCATTTCTGCCGCCACAGTGTCAAGTCATCTTACTGGGGCTCTTCCTCGTCACTGAGCATTTTACATTCTCCTGACACTGATCCCTCCTACTAATACGTCCAAAATATGACAGAGGAAGTCTCACCATCCTGGCTTCTAAGGAGAATCTGACTGTACTTCTTCCAACACGAATTTGTTGTTTCTGGCAGTCCATGGTACTGCAACACCGTAATTCAAATGAATCGATTCTTCTATGGTCTTCCTTATTGATTGTCCAAATTTCACATGAATGTGTGACTATTGAAAATACCATGGCTTGGGTCAGGTGCACCTAAATCCTCATACGGACATCTTTGCTCTTAAACACTTTTTTTTGGTTGCAGATTTAACTAATCCGATATGTCATTTGATTCGATTTCTTGACTGCTGCTTCCATGAATGTTGATAGTGGATCCAAGCAAAATGACGTATTTGACAACTTCAATTTTTTCTCTATCATAATGTTATTATTGGTCCAGTTGTGAGGATTTTTGTTTTCTTTACATTCAGGTGCAATCCATACTGAAGGTTATGAAGGTCTTTGATGTTCATCTATAAGTATTTTAAATCCTCTCAACCTTCAGCAAGCAAGGTTGTATCATCTGCATATCACAGGTTGTTAATGAGTCTTCCTCCAATCCCAGTGCCACATTCTCCTCCATATAATCCAGTTTCTCAGATTATGTGCTCAGCATACAGACCGAATAAGTATGGTGAAAGGATACAACCCTGACTCACCCTTTCCTGATTTTAAACCATTCAGTTTCCGCTGTTCTAACAACTGTCTCTTGGCTTAGGTACAGGTTCCTCCTGAGCACAACGAAGTGTTCTGAAATATGCATTATTCACAATGTTGTCCATAGTCTGTCATGGTCCACACAGTCGAAAGCCTTTGCGTAGCCAACAAAGTGGAAGTAAGCATCTTTCTGATATTCTCAGCTTTTAGCCAAGATTCATCTGACATCAACAATTATATTCCTTAGTCCACATCTTCTTCTGAATCTAGTTTGAATTTCTGACAGTTCCCTGTCATTGTACTATTACAACCATTGTTAAATTACTTTTAGCAAAATTTTACTTGATGTGATATTAATGCCACTGTTTGATGATTTCTGCATTCTGTTGGGTCACCTCTCTTTGGAATGGGCACAATTATGGCTGTCTTCCAATCAGTTGGCCAGGTGGCCGTCTTCCAAATCTCTTGGCATAGACGAGTGGACACCTCTAGTGCTGCATCAGCTTGTGGAAAGATTTCCAAGCATCTTCTGTCACTTCCTAGAGACTTGTTTTTTCACCAGCGCCTTTGAAGTTGCTTGCACATCTTTACTATCGACCCTTGATCATCTGTTACCTCTTGAAATGCTTGAACACTGATCATTTCTTTTTGGTACAGTGACTCTGTGTGTTCCATCTTCTTTTGAGTCAATATTTTATCTGTTGTCATTAAGTGCCATTGAGTTGGTTCCAACTTGTAGCAATCCTATACAGGATTTCTGAGGAGTGGCTGATAAGTTTGAACTGCCAACCTTGTAGTTCAAACCAACCTTGTGGTCCAGTGCTTATCCTGCAGGACTCCACAGAATCCTTCAACCTTTCAAGTTGAGGCTTGAATTTTTTCCTCAGTTCTTTCAGCTTGAGAAATGCTGACGGTGTTCTTCCCTTTTGGTTTTCTAACTCCAGGTCTCTGCATATCTCATTATAATACTTGGCTTTGTCTTCTTGTCTTGTCAGGGTGGGACCTTGCAAACAGCATGGATGAAACCCTAACGAGGGGATTGGTCAGCGTTGCCATTCCACTAGGCTTAAAATGACTCATCCCAGAGGTGAAACGGAACCTTATGATCATCGAAAAAATAAGAGTTGGGACAGGAGCTTGTCCTCCTGGACCCTGGAAACAGAGAAAGAGAGTTGTTAACACTAGAGACAGTGAGAGACAGTAGCAAAGAAACTGCAGCCGCAGAACCGGCAGACTGGCATGGTGGATTTCCGGGCCCGTGGTATGACAAAGCTGAGTCCCTTCTGGCAGGAGGCTTGCTAAAGAAATGAGATGCCTTTATTGTGAGAGCTCAAAAAGCTGTGTAACACTCACCACAAGGTCGGTGGTTCAAACTCACCAGCTGCTCCTCCGAAACCCTATACAGGGTCGCAATGAGTCAGAATGGACTCGATGGCACTTAACAACAACATAGAAGAACTGATGTGTTTTATTTATGGTGTTGGAGGAGAATATTGAAAGTACCATGGACTGCCAGAAGAACAAACAAATCTTTGTTGGAAGAAGTACAGTTAGAGTGCTCCTTAGAAGCCAGGATGGCAAGACTTTGTCTTTCATACTTCGGACATATTATCAGGAGGGACCAGTCCCTGGAGAAGTGGCTCTTGGAATGAAAGATAAGGCAGTCTGCTTCTGTAAAGATTTACAGCCTTGGAAACCCTAGGGAGTGTCCTGCTCTGTTCTCTAAGGTCACTATGAGTCAGGAACAACCTGATGACAGTGTATTTATGAACTCATGAAGGATGTGGCTACTATTCACATCAAGGGCCCTATTCACAATGATGTCCAAGAGATGATGTGAGGGCCATGAAGAGTGCAAGATGGATCCTGCTGCAGAGGAATCCAGTGAATAACCAGAGGAGGTAACCGAGCAGTGACCTTGGTCAAGAGTAAACACATGAACACCTGACTTCATAGGAACATCCGTTGAAATCCAGTAATTAGTACAAAAACCACCTCATCCACCATAGATTTGGCATGTCTTTTCCTGGTTCCCCTGAATGTCTCCTTGGACATAGGTTTGTCGTTTTCTCTACATGTTGTTGTTGTTGTTGTTGTTGTTAGGTGCCATCTAATTGGTTGCAACTCATAGTGACCCTCTGCACAACAGAACGAAACACAGCCTGGTCCTGCGCCGTCCTCACAATTCTTGTTATGTTGTTAAGGCCAATTCTACTTTGAGAAGGCAGCTTTTTCTTCCCTAGTTGTATTCTGAGTGCCTTCCAACCTGAAGGGCTCATCTTAGGCATTATATTAGACAATGCTGTTATTCACAAGGTTTTCAGTGGCTAACCTTTCAGTGGCTCTACCTCTCCTTCTTTGTCTTAGTCTGGTAGCTCCACTGAAACCTGTCTACCATGGGCAACCCTGCTGGTATTTAAAATCCCAGTGGCCTAATAACACACAGCCACCATAGTATGACGCCCTGATAGATGAGTGAGTTGTATTCCAAC